TCTTGTGCTTGTCGCCAGTCTGCAGGCTGTCGAGAACGCGGAGAACCTCCGCTGTGTTGCGACCGGTGCTGGCGGGGTATGAGAGGATGAGGCGGATGGTCTTCTTGGGGTCGATGATGAAGACGGAGCGGATGGTGAAGGCAATGCCCTTGCTGTCGACGTTGGTCGCGTCCTGGTGGTCGATCCTGTTTATGTCGTTAGCAGTGTCGCGAGTCGTAAGTCGCAAAGATTCGCTACCCACATGTCGTATGCCAACGCGATCTGGCGGTCCTTGTCGCCAATGATGGGGAACTTGAGCTTGCTGCCGGAGATCTCGTCAATGTCCTTGATCCAGCCATCGTGCGAGTCGACGGTGTTGGCAGAGAGACCGATGAGCTTAGCACCGCGACGGCTGAACTCAGGCTCGAGCTTTGCGAAAGCGCCGAGCTCAGTTGTGCATACTGGGGTGTAGTCCTCGGGGTGTGAGAACAGGATGACCCAGTTGTCGCCGATGAACTCGTGGAAATCGATGGGGCCCTGGGTGGTCTCGGCCTTGAAGTTGGGGGCCTTGCTGCCCAGGCGGAGAGGCTCTGGTCGGTCGCTCATGGTGCCTTCTGCGCCCATGTTAGCTCAGGTCCCAGCGATTTGCGCAAACATGCGGGGTGGCGGGGTAGGCGCAAGCAGCCAACATACCTGGTTGTGTGATTTAGTGTGTGAGTACGGTCGCGGAAGATATCGAGGTATCTTGTAGATGCAAATTGGGATGTTGGAGCGGTATTATGAGGGAGGGAGGAAGTTGAGGGGTCGATGATGCCTTTTTGTCCTCTTGTAAGGCCATACACAACATTGAACGACCAACACTTCCAGCTAGCGTATATTGCGCAATCGTCACCTATCTCACGTGAACTCCACCAGAGCTTTTTCTGCCATTGAATTTGCCCACGTCGTTTGGCCACTGGGCGAATCATCGACGCGACATCTCCGGCGGTATCGCATGCCAATTGTTGCCCCTCCTGCCGAGCATTCGTCGCAACTGGAAGCAGGTAGAAGCCAATGATGTTGTTGTTGGTGATTTCTCAGCGATATCCCTACTTGTCAGAATTCGAATAGGCTCCGAATCCATGTCAGAGCGTTTGCAGACGTTCCAGCGACCGATTTGGCGTTTGCTTGATCCAATCTCTCGGTAGCTTTGTGCATCAAATGCGCGCATTGTCGGTTTGCCGTGTGAGATTGGGTGAGCCATATGCACTTGCGACATTGGGGTACAGCAGCCTCCATTGATATCGAGGCGGGATGTTTGGCTGTGTGTCGCCCAACCGAACGATTGGGGAAGTCGCACTCTTCTAACAAAGTGCGCTTTCACAAACATTAGCACCAGCTGGCAGTGCGGAGGTTACGCGAAACTCTTCTGAGATGGGTAGCTTCATGGCGGCAAGAATTCCGTGACTGCCCGCCTGAACACACACGCCGTTCCCACGCGTCGCGCGAACTCTAATGTCGCGACGTCACGCTTGTGGCAGACACAGCGAGTAGCCACCTGACTACACCTCCATATGTTACACACGCGTCCAACGTCGCTACTCCCTCCTAGTACAGCTTCATATCGGCAACCTCGGCAGGGTCCTCTTTCTTCTCGCCTGGAGCCTCAAAGTGATTTTGGGCCGAACTTCCGAACTGGCTCCCTTGCGGCGACTCATCAAGGACACGATGCATATCTGTGCTGGTTATCGCAGGATCGAGCGACGATGAGGCTGCTTGCTTTTGCCCAGGTGCCGATACTTCCCGCCGATGATGTCGGGGAGCCATATGCTTGTCCGAGTCGAGATGCCTTTGCTTGAGGCGCGCCAGACTCCTTCCCGCATGACGCACCGGATCTACCCTGTTCTGCACGCGCTCCAGCAGCCAGAGACTTCGAGGCGGCCTTGGCATGTCGGTGTACACGATAAATTCCCAAGTTTACCCCGAAGCGGGACGCCCCCATGCATGTGGGCCTGGAAGATGGAGAAGGAGTCCTATTCCCGACCAATGCAAACGATTTCTACGAATCCCGTCGGGAGAGAACCGGGCGTCCCACACCGTCCAGTTGTTCGTTGGGATGCATATCGGCTACGCCTGTGGGTTAGCGGACCAGACCTAACCGCCGCTTAAGCTATGAAGGTCGCGCTTTTCAGCGTCACCGGGTTCACGCTTGCTTTTAGACTCTGACGCGTTCATTGCGAAATCCTCGGCGTAGCTCTTCGACATTTCAATAGAAGAGAAGGACCTTATGGCAGCATGAGTGCAAATCCGGAGATAAACCTCCCGAGAGACTCTGAGCTCGGAGAGTGCGCAGATTCAAAAAGCCAAGCGGGAATAAGCATATTGCCGGATATGCGCAGGCCTTCCGCAGAGGAACCGAGGGATCGAAATTCCACAGCGGAACCAGATAACGACCCGGAGACAGACTCCCACTATGGAAAACAAAGCACCAGTAGCGAGTTCATACCGCAAGAGAACGTGCAGGGCTCTGAAATCGTTTGGCGTTATCTCACATTCGACACCGAACTCCCACACGCGACCACGATATATCCGACTCAAACCGACCAAGAAGCGCCACCTGAACCTCCGAACCTCGTCAAATACACAAATCCTTTCGACTGGTCAGAGACAAGAAAGAGATTCACGATATGTGTCTCATGCATCATCACCGCTCTCACAGCGTTCTCGGCTGGCGCTTACAGCCCCGGTGTTGAGCAGATGACGCAGGAATGGGGCGTCAGCAGTGTTGCAGCGCTGGTCGGGATCACGACCTTCACGACAGGATTCGCTATCGCGCCGATGGTTCTTGCCCCGTTTTCTGAGATCAACGGTCGCCGGCCAGTCTTCCTCGCTTCAGGCATTTTGTTCGTCATCTGCCAGCTGTGCTCTGGCCTCACGCAGTCATATGCTGGAATGCTCGTCGCGCGCTTCTTCTTGGGCGTGGGCGGATCTACCTTCTCCACTATGGTTGGTGGCGTGGTCTCAGACATCTACCATGCTGAGGATCGGAACACACCCATGGCCCTATTTTCAGGTGCTGCTCTCTTTGGTACTTCATGGGGGCCTCTAGTATGTGGCTTCATTGCGCAAAACACGACTTGGAGATGGATATTCTACGTACAAGCCATCTCATGCGGAGCGGTGGTGGTGCTGATCTGTGTCGTATTCAAGGAGACCCGCGGCTCAGTTCTCCTATCCAGGAAAGCTAAAGCCTTGAACAAGTGGTACGAGGCACGCGAGAAGTCTGGCTACTATGGCTTTAATGTCCACAAGACCGAAAAGCCCGGATCGATGGAGGCTTTACGTTTGAGGTGGAAGGTGCGATCCGATGAAGAACGAGCTTCACTCGGCAAGATGATAGGCGTTTCTCTCTACCGCCCATTTCATCTTCTCTTCACCGAACCTGTCGTGTTCTGGTTCTCCCTCTGGGTAGCCTTCTCCTGGGCCGTACTCTACCTCACATTGGCAGCAATTCCGCTAGTGTTTCAGAGCAACCACGGCTTCTCGCTACAACAAGCCAACGCAGTCTTCGCATCGATGGGTATAGCCAGCATCCTGTCGACCATATTATCCATCTACCAAGAGAAGATTGCGAAGAAGAGCGGGAAGTTGACCGGCACACCAGAAGGTCGCCTTTACTTCGCTTGTATAGAAAGCGCTTGCATGCCCATCGGCCTCTTCATGTTCGGATGGACAAGCTTCCCCGAGATACATTGGGTTGTACCCGCAATTGCAATCGGTATCGCTACCGTTGGCATCTTTAGCATCTACCTGGCGACCTTCAATTTCCTCGCAGACACGTATCATCGCTATGCGAGTTCGGCACTGGCGGCGCAGTCTTTCTGCCGGAATATGCTTGGTAAGTCATCTCCATCTCATCACGACTGGATGCATACTGATATCATCTTAGGTGGCATATTCCCACTCATCACGACCCAAATGTATAATAAGCTTGGGTATGGTCCTGCGAGCAGTCTGCTCGGTGGGATTGGTGCGTTGTTGACCATTGTGCCGTGGATTCTGGTGTTCTACGGACCTAGGATTAGAGCAAGGAGTAAGTTCGCAAGTGAGATTATGGATGTCACCTCTTGAGAGGCAAGATCGTGTTTGATAGATATATCGCATAGCAATTCATTGTCCAAAAAACGGAGAAATTCAAACGTGATTGCTGTCGCCAGATGCAAGTAAGCCTTGGTAGCCGAATCGGGTTAGTCAGGCCAGGTGTTGCATCATCGCAGCTGTGACCCAGCAAACTGCAACACTTGCACAGCCTCACAAGTCAGCCCTGCCAGCTGCCAGTATCCACAGGAAGATGCGCACGCACACCTCACCTTCTTCAGAATCCATAGAGATGCATGCGCCTTTCCTTCCGGTCTCCACCACAACCTTAAGTGGCGACTAATGGAACTTACCATAACAGTGAGATTTAGTGCTACTTCATCTCACTGATGACCATGGACGATCTTCTTCCATCCTACGAAAGCGTAATGCGACGCGATCCTTGGGTGCTAATCGCTCCCTATTTACCTTCGCAGGACCTCTGCTCGGCAGCTTTGGTCAACCGGCAATGGCACCAGACCTTCACACCGAACCTTTGGGGTAGCCCGGCATCGCACTTTGGGGTCCAGAATGATACAGTATACGGTGTGTTACTATGCCACAAAAGCGGTGGTGTATACTGATGTCCAACAGTGGCGCTCACACGGTTCAAGCGTACATTACCTTACGCCCGAGCAGCTGTACGAGAGCTCACACATACTCTACGTTTCCCACCCGCTCATGCAGAGCTGTATGATGGACCGCACGCAGAATGGCTTCGAGACTGTTTGGAACACCTACCTCGTCTGCAGTGCCTAATTGTGGACGGCCTGCCCTTCTTCGATCACGCATGTCTTCTGAGCCTGCGACACTCAAGCCTGCAATGGAGGTTGACTCGCCCCAACACATATCCGGTGTTCAGCCTACGCCTACTAGATGCCTCCAGCTGTACAAATGCTACATCGATGGGCCTTGCAGAAGCTTTACCGCACTTTCCAGATCTTGTCTCGCTGGATCTATCAAAGACTGCAGCCGCGAGAGACAAGGCGGTTCTTTCGACCTTCAAGTACCTCCGAAATCTGCGCGTGCTGAATCTTCGTGGAATCGGCATCAGGGATGAGGAGTTCTCAGTAGTTGCGCATGCAATTAGCAGCCGCGTCAGAAGCCTTGATATCAGCAACAACCTTTTGACGGACACTAGCGTGCGACTCCTTCTTGAACTGTGCTTGAAAGAGAGGGTTGTTGTGACGCATTCTTCTCGTGGACCACTGGCGCCTGTCGAGAACGCGAACCCAACCGATGGACCAGAGACCTTTGAGTCTGAAAACCTCGTTGGCCATCTTCGCAAGAAGCTTACGGGCGGTTTCATCGGCAGCCTAAGTATTGAGGAGTCGAGCGATGTCGGAGTCTCGCACTTGTATCTCTCCAGTAACGCAATAACTGTTGAAGGTATATCGGCTTTGCTGCGATCACGACGCTTGCAAGTCCTAGATGTGGGTATACTACCCGCTGTAGTGACGCATCCTTCTAACCCCACGCTCGAAACACCGAATGATGACTTGGAACTACCTAGCGTATCAAAGCTTACTCCAGTACTTGCAGAGTATGCTTCATCTAGACTGCGATACTTGCGGATCAACTACGAGTTGGTGACAGAAGACGCCCCTTTTGAAACGCCCAATTCGCCGCGCGCGGAACTCACTGGGGATCTTGCTATCTACAAACCTTCAAATGCGCATGAGCTCGAAGCTGTAGAGCCACCGACACCCGAACTCGACTCAATCCCAATAGCTGTACACGAGGTTACAGGGGACTCATCATATCCGGTTGAGCTTCCCGGCTCACCTGTAACGCCTCAACTCGCTGAAAACGACAGGCCGGAATCAGAATTTGCCGATGGTGAAAGGCGAGACGCCAAAAGCGTTCCTAAAATATGCATTACTCCGCAATCACTACAAATTAACCGAGATCCTGCCTGCGCTCCGGAAGTCATACCTGTGGACTCGCCATTGAGCCCTCTTAGCCCACTGGGAAACGGAATCTACCAGCCTCACGCAGCTACAAACAGACATGATTCTGGAGGACGCCTTTCATCATCTACGCCGACCTACGGCAGCAGTACACTGGATCAGCCGATCACCAAGACTACGACAAGGTCACGAGGCAATTCGTTCTACTACATCGAGGACAGAAAGGTCCGACTAGACTTTCGCCAAGCAAGTGAACCTCGACTACATCCTGGGATGCTTCCTAAGCTTCACACTCTTGTTCTGACGGATGTGCCGACCATGACCAGCGATAGGAAGATTGTTCATCGGATTATACAGTTTATCAAGGATGCAGCCGAGGAGGCTTCAATCGCCAAGCAACGGGCCAGGCACACTTATGTGCTACCGCCAGGACGTAGGCGTGCCATAGCGGAAGAAGAGTACGCACGAGACCAATTTGCCCTTCGGAGAGTAGTACTTGAAATGGCGGCCCCACAGTCAGCGCCTAAGAAAATCTCTACCAGTTGGCGGGCTTATCCAACAAAGTCAACTACCGAAGATGCGGACTCTGAAGCATTTTGGGAGGCAGCAACGCATGACTTCTCCTTCTTCGACGATGAAGAGTGCGGACAGCCTGGTCGTGAGCCAGGCCGCACTCTGCCCTTGGCAGCTATGAGCGGATTGGAGCTTGCACCTAGCAATCATGTCTCACCAGTGGACACAAGTGAGAATGTTCATGATACAATTCCGCTCATCGATGTGGTGGGTGAGATTGGCAAGTTTCGGCGAGAAAGGAAGGCCGCATACAACAATTCAGTGGAGATGGGCAAGGCTGAACCCGATGTAGAGGGGTACTGGCCTGGGGATATTACGGTTCTGAGGAAGCCGGTGAGTTCAGAAGCTGGGGAACTCGACTGTTACGGCAACCGGTATGAATTGGGTTGGTTCTACCGTTGAACGCGATAGCGTGGCGCAGCACTAGCACGGGATAACGCTTTTACATTCCGAAGTCACTCAATAGGCTGATCGGCTATCATGGCTCATGTCTGAGTGTATTAGAGACTGTTTACCAGCCTTGTTGGAAGTATACAGTCCTTCAGGGTGGATAACCAATTACCGACAAGCTTACTCACCGGTTTGGTGACCGGTTCCAAGGGTTGCAGTGGGCTGACCCCGCGCACAATGACATCCACATCGACACACATCTGCCCACTTGTGCAACTGCTCTCGAGTCCTTATTTATTAATGCAGTTCATGGGTGCCAGAGCACCGCCCGCCACGACGTGACCGCAGACTTTACCCCGGTCTGGATGCACCGCCACGCAAAGGCTTCCTACGCTCATCTGAAGCACTCTGTTCCACCGATACTGGCTATCGAGCAGCGCCGAAGTACTTTCAGAAACGCTCAACATTCTTATCCGGTCTCTTACGGCTGCTTCGTACATCAGATATTATCATGGGCCAGTCGTGGAGCGGTCAGCGAACGATCCAAGCAGCTTATGAGCGACGTGGAAAGGTAGTCGCCTTGAAGTCGAGACAGTCAAAATCTAACAAAAGTTACAACAGAGGCCATAGTTCCTCTTCTGACGCAGACTCAACCGGACAACATCGGTATAGCCAGGCAGTTTCCAACGGCGTGACAGCCAAACCTGGACGCGGAGACCGCAGGTCGGCCTCTTCACATGAATCGCATCCTACCCGAGTAATACCCATAGGCAAAGCCAAGAAAGAGCGTACATCAACATTTGACAAGCATCGAACGAAGAAAGAAGCTCCACACAAGCCAAAGTCCAGCAAAAGAGCCGAAGGCGGTAGGACAAGGCACAAGTCGCTCAATCGAGTAGACAGCCATCACCACCAAAACGATTCACATCAACCCAAGAAAGAAAAGAAAGACTGTACAGTGTGCACAAATACGCTCTCACTGCACCACTTCCCCGACCGGCCGCCTACCAAGAACTGCAAGCACGACGTCGACGTATGCCGAAAGTGTCTTCGCACATGGATCGCATCTGAGTCCAGCGCAAAACTGTGGAACGACATAACATGCCCTGTGTGCAAAACACAACTGCGTACAGCAGACATAAGAGACTTTGCGCCGAAAGATATTTTTAAACGGTACGATCCCCTTTCCCTACTCCCTTTTCACACCCCGCACATGCCCATCCAACCAAACACATCACTAACAACACAACCAGCTACGCCGCCCTCTCCTCCCGCGCCAAGCAAGAAGCCCGTCTCGGCTTCCACTGGTGCCCCCTCAAAGGCTGCAAAGCAGGCCAAGTCCACTCACCCAACACCCCCAAATTCCGGTGCAACACCTGCGAAAAGACGTCTTGTGTCGTCCACAACGTAGCCTGGCATAAAGGAGAGACGTGCACAGAGTACGACTACAGAACAAATGGGAAACTGAAGAAGGAAGAGGAGGAAGCGAGTAGGAAGGTGGTGGAGAAAACGACAAAGGCGTGTCCGGGGTGTAAGAGGCCGATTGAGAAGAACAAGGGGTGTGATCATATGGAATGTACGTATATATTTCTCGTGCCAGGAGAAGAGGTAGGATCTTCGTTAAATGTGACGTTAAGGCTGATCGATATGATAGGTGCGAAATGCCATGTCCACTTTTGCTGGAAGTGTTTGAAGCCGTATTATGCGTCCAGCACACTTGCGCGGAACACGGGAAGCCACTGTGTTTGTCATGGAGGACTTAATGAGGGCTGAATTGCTATACGCGGCGGAAGCTGGAAAGACAGTATTTGCGAAGCCGACAACAGGGAAAGAAAAACTATTACACTCAATTCGCAACGTTTTACACAGTCAACTTCATCAGCAGTGCTGGTACCCCGGCACGCGCCATATACGCAGCAGTCACCCCCACAACCGATGTCAAGACCATGTACTTGAACCAACCACCCTTCTTCCCTTTCTTTATCTCTTGCGTCTCCATCCAGTGCCACCCCTCAGCACTCTCATCAATCGTCCTCGTCGGCGCATAATCCAGTTTAGGCGCCACCGACAACGATTCGATGAGCCCCGCTTTCTGAGATGGCACAATGTACTTGTGCAAATACCCAGCAAAGAAGTAATTAAAGCGTGACTGGTAGCTGTTCATACGCGTGAGCTTGCCGCTGGTCTCGACGTATTCTTTTGCTCGTGCGTGGCGACCGGCTTGGTATTCGGCGAACAAGGCGGCGAGATCGGGGGTGGAGATGCGACGAGTGGGGTTGGAGGCGAATTCGCGGTGCAGGATGTTGCAGAGGTGGACGGCGGACTCGACGGCTATGTTGGCGCCCATGCCGAGGTCGGCTGTCATCTGGCATTGCGTTAGTGATGCGCTTTGATGATGATGGGTTTGAGGGTGTGTACTTTGTGTGCTGAATCTCCTACGAGAACTATACGCCCGGCATGCCATTTACTCAGGACGCCTTCTTCGACATAGAGAAGACCGTGTCGCTCGTTTGTCTTCCATACATCGCCCAGTGTGATGTTTTTTGTCATAGGAAGATCGGCGAATCTCTCCGCCACCGCCTCAATCTCTGCCTCAGTAGCTTTACCTTTCTGCTCTGCCTTTTGAAATTCGTCTTTGAAGGTGATACCCCACATAGCCCTCCCCATCTGCGAAAAGAGAAGCATGGTAACGTCTTGGCCGAGAATCATATTCGTATTGGAGGTGCCTAGTTGAGCATTGTCCGGTAGCGTGCTGACGCCGAACAAACCTCTGTATTCGCCGAACGACATTACTTCTTTGTCGGTTTCGGGTATGCTGCCTGGTTCGAACTTGTCGGCGTGGTCCCACATGAGTTTCCGGACGTGACTGTGTACACCGTCTGCGCCGATGACCATGTCTCCTTCTTCGGTAGAGCCATCGGCTAGGTGAACACGTACACCCGTATCGGTTTGCTCGATACGTTCAAGGCGCCTCCCGGTGTGAACTTTGGACTTGTCAGGTAGTCCCTCGTATAGGTGCGACACGCAAGTTTGGCGATCGAACAGGATACTCGGTATTTTGAAGCTTTCGTGGAGTCAGCGCGTGATGCACACATTTCACACATATCTCGAGAGTATGGGAACATACAGTTTGCTCACAGCCTGCATAGTATCATCGCGACAGATCAAACTCCCGTCTGGCCATCGTTTGTAAGAGGCATCGACGGGCGACGTGGTTTTGGTGATTCTATCGAGAATACCAAATTGGTCGAAGATGCGTGCGACAGCCGGCCAGATAATCAGTGCTGCGCCTTTTAGTGAAACAATCTTGTCGTGCTTTTCGAGGACGACATGTTCGATATTGGCTAGTTGTAGAGCGTGTGAGAGCGACAAGCCGACAATACCGGCCCCAATAACAATGACCCGAAATGGCTTTGGGGATGTGAAATCTTCGTCTGCCATAATGAATTCTCCGATGCTGATGCAAGGGTTGCGGTGGGGAACACTGGGTCTTAGGTGCGAGGCCTAGAGCAAGGGATGGTCGTGACTCGAATCACTGCCGGCTTTACTATTGTTCTTGGATGACGCCTGTTGGGCCATTTAATTTAGCCTGCTACTGTATGAGCCGTGTTGTATTGATCTAAATGGTTATGATTTGCAAGTATCGGGTGGTGCCACAAGGGAGGCTTCCAATGTTGGTGCCTTATCTCAGTTTCGATGATGCTGACACGAGCGCCTCGGGCGTCTTCTTACTTTGTAGACAAGTCATATCGTAGGGCTTGCGCAATGTATTCCATGTCTTGAATGCAGTACAGTCAGATCAGTCGGAGTTGATCCAGGCGCTGTCTATCTGGTGGTGTGGAAGTGAGGATCTTGTTTGTACAGCGTCGCGCCTACATAGTCGATATGGAGACAGCCTTACGCGAGAGATGCGCGATGAGCATCGATCTTGCTGCAGTGGAAAAAAACCATATACCCCGTTCAAACGACGGTTGCAAAAGATTTGTACTCCTTTCCGATAATGGTACGATGCGCATTGTGAGTAGACGTGGAAAGATCGGCAAAAGAATACTCCGGAACTTGTTGTCAACATCGTAGCCAGGGTGGTTTAGTGGATTGGTAGCACTGCTGACACCTTTAGGTGATGAAGTTGCCGAACAAGGCCGCAATGACTGTGTCCATGCAGGAACCAGCTCGCTTGTGACGTCGAAAACCTGGGGTAGTGGGATCTGCAGCCCTGGCCCGACACAAGATGTCGTGTGGAACTCACATGTTCCCGGCTACGCGACTCATGAAATGAGGTTGAATGCGAACCTAATCTAGTAATGTATGTGAATCGGCTCACATTTCCTTGTGCGAAAGGCGGCTCAGTAAACCTTCGAAATGGCTGAGTGGAATGGGAGGAACTCCGGTAGCACGTGAGGGCAAATCGGACTCGGGAAACACCTGTTGTGATAGTCACTAAGGTCGGCAGAGACGACTGGATTGCCGAGCTTGGTAGTGACGGATCGGCCTTAACACGACGCGGTAGGGTGCAGTGAACGGGAGCTGCGACGAACTGCCTAGGTAGCCCACATGTTGCTTGGCACACTAGCTGCATTAGTCGACCCCAGCTCGCACCTTCAAGCAGGCGCATCACGGTATCGCGCCTGTCTCGCAACCAACGCCCCTCCGCCCATCGCCCACCGCTGGCTCCCGAATCGATGAACGCAGTGCACTCGATTTGCCGGGTGAATACGCGCTTGCCGTAGCTTGCACCTGACAGGACCGGCGCCGGCGCGTCATTTCGCGATCGCCCAACCTCACCCTTGCGGGTCTCTGGACACATCCGCACTTTCTACATGGCGCCTGTTCTTGACACACCACTACCACGCGTGAGAAGCACACGACCGCCCCGGCGACACATATCTGACTCAGCGCCAGCCAGCAAGCGGCGCAAGTACGTTCCAGGCGGACCAGGAGGCGGGGGACGATACGTGGATGACGAGGGGCTGGAGACGCCCGTAGGAGGAACTGGACCTGGAGGATACGCGTATACTGGTCCCCGTGGCCGTGTAGGACGCATCAACGCCGAGCGGCAGGGCCTGCCCATATCAGCGCCTTCACCCTCATACACCAGACCCCGACGCGAAAGGCCGCCAGCTGGACCGCGTTCCAGTTCGGCCGCCGCAGTCGCCGCCGCCGTGGCTCAAAACGATGGATACAAGCCGCGCGAGGAGCGGAGCTGGGATGAATTTCATCCGGAACTGGACATCGACGCCGAGTTCCCCGTCTTCAGCGCAGACCAGATAGATGGCATCAGCCCTGCAGACAGCGCCCCGGGGACTCCGCTCAATGGCTCATCGACGGGCCAATATGCCGTCGACAGCGGTCTCTCCGCGGTTCTTGACGGCCTACGGACGCAACAAGCAGAGGATGTCGCGCAAGAGCAGGAGGACGCAAGCTTAGCCGTCAACGGCTCAGGCGCCTTCGTCACACCAAAGCGACGCCCAGGTCGACCGCCTCGCAACCGAGACTCTATGCTAGCTGGGCTCGGATCGCCGCCTCGACCACGAGTCAACCCCCTTCCGACTATGAATCCAAGGGAGAAGCTCAATCTACCCAAGCCATCAGTGCGCCAAGTCGACCCGTTCAAGGAACACGAAGAAAGCGAGGGCGTCAAGGTCAACTATGTCGACAAGACCATGGCGAACATCGGATACCAAGAGAGCGAGATCTTCACAAGGCCATCGGAAAACAGCCTCATTAGGCTACCAGAAGGCTCCATCGAAGAAGATCTGGATCTTACTCTGCAGACAGAGGCCGAAGGTACTGCAGGCGCAGTTGCTGTAGGTCGCGTCGAGTACGACATGGATGAGCAAGACGACCGATGGTTGGAAGCACTCAACGTGCAGCGAAAAGAAGAGGGTGTCGAAGGTATCAAGCCTGCGATATTCGAAGTAACCATCACCCAGATCGAGAAGGAGTGGCACGCGCTGGAAAAGCGTAAGTTTTGTGGTGCTAAAACGAAGCGAACGCAACGACTAACATGTGAAAGGCATACCCAAACCCAACCCGAAGCCACCTCAGACACATCGACCACGCTCGAGCAGTGCAGCTGCTGTCAACGGAGAGCCTGCTGGCCAAGGCGAAGAGCAAGATACAAAGTGCGCCATCTGCGACGACGGCGACTGCGAGAACACAAATGCAATAGTATTCTGCGATGGTTGCGACTTAGCCGTCCACCAGGAGTGTTATGGCGTGCCTTTCATCCCAGAGGGACAATGGCTGTGCAGACGGTGTCAACTAGTCGGGCGCGGCACCCCTGTCAGCGAGCTTCCGGTATGACCTGTCGCTCCCTGCTTCACCAAATGCATGCTGACACTCACAGGGTTGCATATTCTGTCCGAATATAGACGGTGCATTCAAACAGACAACGACAATGAAGTGGGCACATCTGCTGTGCGCCATGTGGATACCAGAGGTATCACTGGGCAATGCGACATTTCAAGAGCCAGTGCAAGACGTTGAGAAAGTACCCAAGACCAGGTGGAAACTAGTAAGTGATCAAGATTCCTCATTGGTCGAGTAGCGCACTAATTGCTTTGCAGTCTTGCTATATCTGCAAGCAGAAGATGGGCGCCTGTATACAATGCGGCCACAAGTCCTGTTTCGAAGCTTTCCACGTCACATGTGCACGGAGGGCTAGACTATGCCTGCGCATGAAGTCTTCGCAATCGTCGAACCCGCAGGATACGACTGTGCTCAAGGCCTATTGCGATCGACACACTCCGTCCGACTGGAAGCGTGAGTTTGATGTGGAGAGTGCAATCGCAGATACGAAGGCCTTCTACCGCCACACCATGCGTCACATTCGCTGGCCGGACAGCCAAGCCTACGCGCTTTCTATTGGATCTTCGCACGCGATGCCTTCCATCGAAGGACCGGATGACGACACCCCTGGATCCAACAAGCGAAAACGTGGACAATCTACCAAGTCTTGGAGACTGCCATCTGGAGCTCCGGTTGTGCCCCAGGCTGTCTACCACAACGTTGAAAACACGCTGATCAAGTTTAATGTACGTAAGCGTAAGGAATTCGTGCAAGAAGCCTGCAAGTACTGGACGCTTAAGCGCGAGGCACGACGAGGTGCGGCCCTTCTCAAGCGTCTTCAGCTCCAAATGGAGGCCTTCTCTTCTATGGAGATCACTCGCCGCAACTTTGCAGGCATGGGAGCAGCTGGCAGACCCCGACTCCAACGACGCATTGAGTTTGCAGAACGTCTTGAAGATGACATGGAGCAAATCCGTGTCCTCTGCGAGATGGTCAAACAGCGAGAAGCTGAGAAGCTCAAGGACGTCTTGATACTGCAGCAGATCGTCGATTGCATCTACTTCCCGATACCTCAGCTACTGCAGCCTATCCTGGTCCGAGCACAAACGTAAGTAATTCACCTCTAGATCTTGAATCCCTACTAACTTTGCATTAGACTCGATAGTAGAGGCTACTTCAACGACGGATTCAACAAGCTTCAGACCAAGCTCGATGAGAAATACTACACTTCGGTGCAGACATTCAACGACGATGTGGCCGCGGTCTTGAGTGCTGAGCTTGGATCTGCCGCTGTCCCCAACGTTGGCGATGCTGAAGATCAGCTGAACAGGAGTGCGCACAGCAGTCTGAGCTCTGAGCAGAAGGAATTGAAGAAGGTCGTTAAGCGAATCACCAAAAGCCTACAACCTTACTTTGAGGACGCGATCCGCAAGGAGTCTGAGCTGGCTGGTCGGCCTTACGAAAAACTACCGGACCTGGAGACACTCCTCAACCAGAAGCTGCAACGCAGGCCGAGCGTCCTGTCTCACGACGAGACTGTGCGACAAACGACGGAAAGCGACCCGACAACTGTTGAGGAAGCTCAGGAAATTGCAGTCGATGGGGAAGAAGCTGCTGTGCTCACTCAGAAACCAGAGGAGATGCAGCTTGCGCCCACACCGGACGAGAACGCCGCAGACGCACATCACACACACCATGCACATGACGAGGCGGCAGACGAGGCGGCCATTGCCATTCAACTTGGCCAAGATGCTCTTCGCGTGTCCAGCAACCAGCCCGAGAACGCAGTGGTGGAAGCCCGTGTGGAGACCAATGGCCGACCCGAGCCCCTCACGCCCCCAAGATCCGAGAAGAACTTACTCAACCCTCTGGGCAATGGCGGTGTTCCCTGGTACTTTGAGCACTTCGATGTACATGGCACAACCGTATACGAAGAACGGTACACCGGTCGTGAGGTACTCCGAGACATGAGCGAGGAGCTTAGCGAGCTAGACGACGACGAACTCGACGGCCTGGCCGACTCTGATCCAGTTCGGCCCACAGACACGCCCGAGTCGAATGTCGCCGCAATCAAGAAAGCGGTGGCACGCAAGAGGCAGAAGAGATCGAGGGGATGGTAGATGATTGGGTTCACGTTTCTTTTATCCTCT